CTTTCCAACCAGCACAACAAGTGAAGCATATGGACTAAAACTAGGTTGTATTATGCCTTGCTCCAGCATATCCTGCACCAATTTCTCGATGACATCTTTCTGAGTGGAAGAGTATCTATACGGCCTCATATTGATAAGATTGTTATCTGCTTCCAAGGGAATCCTGTGATCAAAAGGCCCTCTAGATGGAGGCAACCCCTTTGGATCAACAAACAGTTGATGATACTCTTTAGAAAGAGACTGGATAGCTAAAGGAATGGACATCTCCCATTCCTCGCGTTCTTCTTCCACAGGCATTACCCTGATCATTAACAATTGTCCACCAGCCTTAGACAACTTATCCAACCTCTTAGCTTGTACAATTCTGACTTTATCCACAGAGCCCTTGAGAATACACTATTGCCCTTTATAATGGTATCCCAAGGTCAGTTTCTGAAAGTTTAATTTCAAGTCTCCCAGTGGAAGCAACCATTGAACTCCCAGTATTAAGTCACAAGACCTCAAGGGTATTAGTAAAAATTCATCTGAATACGTCAAACCTTGCATCACCCAAGAGAAAGCCTTGCAAATCTCATTTGTTTGTCTGTCATGGCCATCAGTTACATTGATAGCATAAGGTTTGACAATCTGGATGTCACATCTGAGTTCTTTGGCCAGCTCCTCATCCATGAAGTTGTGTGAGCTCCCAGGGTCAATCAGAATGTGCAATGTTCTTTTCCGGCAACATCCTTCAACCCTTAAGGTGTTGAATGTAGGAATGTCATGAAGAGCATGAACATAAATCTCACAAACCTCTCCTTGTTCCTCTTCAGCATCTACATCAATGATAGGTTCTTCAAGCCCTTCTTCCTTATCTTCCTCAATTTCCTCGTCCACCTCCAACAAATATAATGACTTGGAGCTTCCACATTTATGACCAGGGAAGAACTTCTCGTCACAAAAAAAGCATAGCCCCTTCTGTCTCCTTTCATTCATCTCAGCTGGAGTTAGCCTCTTGCTGTTGCTTCTATTTAAATTGACAGATGTATCTCTCTTGGTTGGACCAACGTCCCTTTTATTAGTAGCTCCTCTTGGGAAAGAACTGAAAGAGCCTCCCTTATTTTGAAAGTTGCTACCACCATACGAAGGGTGTCTGGTCAATTTCAGTTGAGCATACACCTGAGCTTCTGTGTTCCTAGCCAGTTGGTAAGCTTGTGGAAGAGAAAGAGGCTTGTGGTTCTTGACAGTGTACCCTATCTCCGGTTTTAATCCTGTGATAAATCCACTTATAGCATATTCAGGCAGTATGGTTAGTCTAGTCATGATTTTGTCAAACTCATTCCGGTAATCCTTAACATTACCAGTTTGCTTCACCAATTTCAGCTCAGCCATAGGGTCCTCAAATTCAGCCCCAAATCTATCTGTAAGAGCAAACAAATACTCTTCCCAAGTAGGATAAGGAAGGTGTTGCCTACTTCTTAAATAAGCTAAATGCCATTCTATGGCAAGACCATCAAAATGCAACATAGTTATCTTAACCTTTTGATTATATGGAATTTCATCAAGCGAAAAGAATTGATCTACCTTGCACAACCAAGATCTGAGATCTGAGCCATTAAACCTTGGAAACTCAATTTTTGATAGTTTGGACATGTTGCTCATGAAATGGCCAGTAGCTTGTTGAAATCCTCCTTGGTACCCCATTTGAGCTTGTCCATGGCCTCCACTCGTTGGAATCTGATGTTGAGCTCTTCCTTGTGAATCCTGACCAGTGAATTCGAATCCCATACCTTGATTTTGAGGCGTGGCTCCCCCTATGGGTGATTGCAACTGATGCAGAGACCCCATCCCCATTTGATAACCACCAGGAGTCACCATGTTAGGATTTCCACCAGCCTGTGAAGCAGAGACCCAAGCCATAGGGTGGCCTGAAGGAGTATATATCTCACCCCCATCTACTTCTTCAACAGTTTTGCCTTTGTCCTTCTCCTTCACAGCATCAAGAGTTTGTTTCAGCTCAGAGAATGTCTTCTCATAGTGTGCTTCTATTTGATTCTGTCTAACTGTGAAGTTAGCCATCTCCATGGTCATCCTATCAAGCATATTTTTGATTTCTTTCATATCAGCCATTTTTAAATCTCCCACAGAGCTCAAGAAAGTGCTCTGATACCAAATTATGCAATTATAAAAGAATAACAATGAAACACTATAAGAAATTGATAAAGGGAAAGAGGTAAACTTGTAAGCTAAGCTATTTCTACTTCTAGCTAAACATATTGTCATTTCATAAAGAGAAGAGACAATTACAGAGCTTAAATAGCTAAAAGAAAGCTGGACCGCTGCCACAACTGGCAACTCCAGGACAAAACAGAAAATAACAAATAGGACCAGAAGTATCCTATTCCCACAATTAGCAGGACCTAAGTGTCCAATCCTAAACTTCTACAAGCCAACAGACAAAAGAGACTTAACTGAATAAATAAAACTAATAAACAATGCAGCCCTAACGACTTTAACGACTAGGTACAACCTCACAAGCTGAGCGTACAACCACCTTAGCTTCAACTCCTCATTCTTGCATCATGGGAGAACGGAATCGATTTGAATTCGAAATTCGAATTCCAAGATTGACAGCCAAGAATTCAAACGGTCTAATTTCAAGAGAATAAGGAACGAGTGGTGAGATTTCGACACCTAGCCATTGTCACAACGGTCTTGTACGCGCGATTGATGGGCTGAATCGCGAAGAAGAAGGTGAGTACGGATGGATTGTCTTTTGCACGCGAGGAAGAAGAATGGGGTCGTTTTTTTTGTACTGGGTCGAGTTAATTGACTCTTATTGGAATGGGTCTTTGGGTTCTGGGTGTTGCTGGAAATAATTGGGTATTGGGTTGCTGGCTTTGGCCCAAAAATGGGTTTAAGGTGAGGTAGAAAAGAGGTTAGATTGGAAATTGAGAATTTGGCTCAATTGATTGCAATTATAGTCAATTAAATTTAAAAATATAACCAAATTGAACTAATTACTTAAATTCGGCTAAATCTTAAATAAGATTAATTAACAACCTTCTTAAACTTAATGAAATGAAATAATTAACTTAATGAAATGAAATAATTAACTTAATGAAAAACTAGATAATTTTAAAATTATAACCATAATTTAAACTAAAGTAAATTAATAAAATAATTAACTAAAAAATGTAAAATCTTTTGAGATGATTTTCAAATATTTATAAAATATACTAATTATATAAAAACATATTTATCATTTAAAATATTATAAAAATGACTAAAATTACTTTAAATATCTTGAATTTTATATAAACTAACTATTTCGTATAAGCTAACCAATTTGTGAAATTAAAAAAACTCTTACGTAAGTTACGTCAATTTTTCCAGGCAGAAAATAAAGTCTTTTCCATTCTTACTAATTATTGAATCAATGTCTCAATGTGATGCAACTCTTTTCATTTTAGATGGGGAAAAAATATCTCATTCGATTTTGAAATAAATTATTATTCTTGTTCAATGAGCACCCCAAGTTTTGGGATCCTTTACCTGTTGAATATGTTTTAAAACATAAAAAAATAAAAAAGGAAGTTGAAAATTCATTAATCATTAAATGTGAAAATATAATAATTAAATTAAGAGAAATGAGTATTTCAAAAATGAACTGACGATGTAATTTTGTTGTCCATTGTCAATAATCTCTATATTTAATTGTTTGAAAGTAGAGGTAAGATTAGTATACATGGTAGTGATGTATGTCTAATAGTGTAGTTTATCCTTGAAAATATTCGATTCAATCTTTTTCCAAATCTTATATTTCGATTCTCGAAACATTGAATAATTTAATAATATTAATGCTATAACAAAAATAACTTTTAGTTGTAATAAAATACATATTAATAAAGAGTGCTAAAATATTTATCGGCATTTTAGTAATTGTTATTGGATCCAATGTCACTATAGACTTTAAAGACATTTACAAAGAGTATTAGTTGTCACTAAAGAAACATATTCAATTTTAATTAAACTATTATCGTTAATTAATTATTATTAAAGATTATTTTTGAGGACCATCGACAGAAAATTAGAAACTTGTCATGAAAACTTAGGCAAACTTTTGTATGCCTTTGACTTAAAAGGTTAAAGGGAAGTTGAATAATTGATTATTTTACTTGTTTTTTTTCTTTGATTTGAGAGATTTTATGGACATATTATACGATTCTTTGAACATTTAAAATTAAAATTGATAGTTTCGTGCAAGTAATCTGAAAATAGACAATGATGGTTCAATCTAATAAAAAATAAAAGAGATCATTTGTTGGTGATTGAGGCACAATTGTGAAGTAATACACAAATTTTTATTACCGCATTAACAAGTCATTAATAAAGTGAAAGCTTGTTGGTGATTGAGGCACAATTGTGAAGTAATACACAAATTTTTATTACCGCATTAACAAGTCATTAATAAAGTGAAAGCGAAAGCTCATAAAAAATGGCAAAAAATATAAATAAGAAATAAAATAATATCAAAACAAGTTTCAAGCCTACTGAACACACTAGGTCATTCGGGTAAACTTTGATCAATCATTAGTCAAAAGTCAAAGCCCCTTTTAACAACAAGTCAACGCGTTTTCTTATTTAAAAATTTGAACTATTTTTTTCATCATCAATGACAATAAGTGAGAAATATTTTTTATTAAAGCATAATAGAATATTTCATATTCGTTCCATTTTTCATTTGTTCTTATTATATCCAACAATTACATCTACAATAATAATAAAAATATATCCCGTGAAATTAATACAAATGGAAAAGAATTTATATATTTACGAGAGAAAGAAACAAATACTAAATTCAAACCTCAACATTAGTGTTCTTATTCCGTTTATAGTTGAGGTCGATATTCATTTGTCAACTTCTGATTAAATTAATAGTATATGACAGCAGTCACGTGGACTCATCAAATTAGAAGAAAATTAGATTACTCTTCTAAAGAATCCAATTATTTTACCAAAAAATATCTGCTGGACAGAGTAAAAGTAAACAAAAAGGAAAAGAATACAATTAAAGAAAATCCCAATAAAATAATAATTTTTTTTCTTGAAATCCTATTATAATGCCATGGCTTTGAAGTCTGATAAGTTTTTTAGGAGGCATTCATTTGATGGTATGCCCAAATTTTTTCCTTTTTTCTTGAATTTCCTTCATTGGGTATTCTCAAGATTTGATTTTTATTTATTGTAGCATTGAAAACAAGGAAACCCAATTGTGTAAAGAGTGAGAAAGCAGAAATGGGGAAGTCAGTGAAGTTTGAAGGTATAAGTGAGGAATTGCAGAAGATAATAGATGCTAATATGGACAAAGTGGGAGCAAGACGTCATGCTAGGGATGCTTTTAAGGATATTCAGTTGTCAATTGATCATTGTCTCTTTAAGGTACTGCTTAGTTGATTGAAGAATTAACCTAAATATTCATCCGCCTGACTGATTAAGCTAATAATAGATGTGTATAATCTATGTATACCGGCTAGAAAAGTAAACAGTAAATTTGTCTGACTATTTGTGTAGACATCCCTATTTGATGGTTTTAGTAGAAAAAGATTCATTGTCAGCTTTAAAGATTGGATTTTGATTGCTTCTGACTTGATAAACTGGATATAAGAGAATTCATTTGGTCACACTGCTAGTTTGAGATTGATTGAGGCATGTATATTTTACTTGTCAAAATGATGTTTGGGATTGAGATTTAGTTAATTGATTGATTAGTTGACTGAACAGATTGTCTTGTGTTGATGAAAGTAGAAAGTGTATCTTACTTGGGACTAAGAGATTGATTATTGTCAACTTCAAAGGGATTGACATAGTTGTGTGGAACCTAAAATCTTGCTCTATAGACTGCAATCCTGCTTAAATTTCCACCCTTTTCATTATAGGATTGTATAACATGCATATTACACCAAGATTATATGAAGCATCTACAGATAGATCATCTCGAAGAGAGGGGATTTAAGTTGTTCACTATTCATTCAACGCATAAGTTCATGTTTGACCTTTAGATTCAAGGGCATAACAAGACCGACCGTTCCCTATTTCTGTCATTAGTTGATTAAAACAGCAGTAATACATTTTACTGATTGAAAAAGCAGCAGTACTACAGTTTTTTCCTAATCAAAGGGCAGAAAAATCAAAGTTTTACTAGCTCAAAAAGACCTTTAAGAAAATTGCCTTAACCCAGTTAACTATCCAATGAAAATCAAGTGGTTTCTGTTCTCTTTTCTTCTTTCAATTCTTAAAATAATGAAAGGACACTTGTGGTTGATGTATTCTGAGGAATGGTATCATTTGTGTGATAAAAAAATTGTTTAAGTATGTGCATCGAGTTATGACAGTTGAGACTTTATAAACACTTCTTCAACTTTCTAATTTTTCAGCGACTGCAGATAGTGCTAATGAGAAACTGAATCCTTTTAGAAAGTGTCATGTTTCTTACGTGTTCTTAATCTGATTTAATGATTCTTTATTTGCTTTCACACAGATGCCACATGCTAGATTGAAGATGAAGGAGGTAAACCTTTTCTCTTACATCCTCATTTTCCAGTCTTGAAAATTCAAGTTATTCTGGAAGCATCCTATTTCTCTTCTAAAACAAAATGATCTCTTGTGTAATTACTTCTGCCTGTACTTTTTCTTTTCATCTTTTCTGTTTGAATTCTTGATGAAGCTAATATGACATCTCATAGTTACTTCAATGCCTTTTCTAGCGCAGCAAGATTTTTTTTGTGTGCAACAATATCTTTAACACTTATAACTTACAACAACAACATACCCAATGTGATCCTACAAGTGGGGTATGGGGTAGTGGTGTGTATGCAGCCTTACCCTGCCTTGAGGCTCAAGTAAAGCAATACAAAAATCAAGTATGTAAAGCAATTAATACCTAAAACTTATCTTAAGAAAATTGGACCTTGCCATGAAAGAATCTTATAAAATTGTGAATTAGAATATGACAAGATACAGTCATCTTTTTTTCTCTAATAGTCAAGAAGGTTTTATTTTCTTAAGATTATGGGGGACCATGCAGTATGAAATTAATTTCAGGACATCAAATGAAACTTGATTTCCAATCATTTAAATGTATTTATTCTGTCATGTGAATGAAATATGTATCGCTGTACAAATTTAAAGGGGAAAGAAGAGAGTAACTGTGGAAAGATCTGTTTGGTTAAAGAGTTCTAATTTTTGTGAAACAAATTGAATGAAGGCGGTAATTATCTCAACTTTTTCAATAAGGAATGAAGGGGATAGTTTGAGAAAGCTCACTTAATTCACCTGAACTATGCACTATGACTGGATATTGTCTTCCTTTTCCTAGTAGTGCCAAGCAAATGAGAAGAGTCTAAATATATGGTAATTTATAGCATCTAATATTAGCATTTTGGTATAATATTCATGATTTGTTATGTATTTTACTTTACATAGTTCTGTGAAATTTGGTGGCGCAGTCATATGAGGTTAATTCTCGAGGACTAGAGATCTTCTCTAAAAGTTGGCTTCCAGAGACAATCCCCCCCAAAGCCATGGTATACTTCTGTCATGGTTATGGTGATACATGCACATTTTTTGTTGAAGGTTTGTGATTGGCAAACACGTATTAAGTCTCAGACTAGTATTCCTTGGGAGATTGTTCCTGAAACTTGTCTTTCTTCTTAGGCATTGCAAGAAAACTAGCATCTTCCGGTTATGGAGTATTTGCCATGGATTATCCTGGATTTGGTCTTTCAGAAGGTCTTCATGGCTATATACCAAGTTTTGACAAGTTAGTTGATGATGTCATTGAGCATTACTCGAAGGCGAAAGGTACAACTTGCCCCAGTGAACTTATTTATCACCTTTTTCATCTCATGGATTCTTTTGATAGGTCCGAGACTCTGGTAAAATGTAGAAGCCAGAATTAATTAGTTAAGGAAAAGATATACCAACTAAAGATGATGAATGCAAAAGCTAAGATTCGAACGCATGAAAAGACAAAAGACAATATTTAAATCAAACATTCAGTTGGAAGAGTATCCTACTGAGCTAAGCAATGGATGAGCTTAAAGTGTCTTGCTAATGGAGTAAACATTCATCTGTTTGATTGAACTTCTGGCACTTTCTTTCTAAAAAAAATGTTGTGTTCAGCTTATTATGGTCATAAATGAATAGTCAATTTTGTCAAGAAGAAAGATTGAGAGAGTGAACTATTTAAAAAATGCATGTTGTGATTTTGTTCCTTGTAGAATGAAAAAAGGCCTCAAAGTTTGACAGTGTATGTAACTGTGCGACAAACTAAAAGATCATATCCTATTACTATTCCAAATCAAATTTGAACTCACAAATTCATTATTTATTCATAACTTCGAGTATCACTCATGGTGCTAAGTTACCTCATCCTTCTTCATTTTTGTCAAGTAATGTTGATGACTAGGGCATTAAATGATGAACAGCAGATCCCCCGTGTGTTCCTTCCACATTCTAAAATGTTTTAGGGTATGAAGAAGTCTGTCATGTACACCAATTAAACACCCTCCCTTGTTATTCTATATTTCTGCTCCTACTTTGACATTAGGTATGTAATTAATGAGTAAATTTGAAAATATACTTAGAAATAAGAGGGCCCAAATTGGACAGAGGCGAAGCCACGGTCACAGAAGGGGTTCAACTGAATCCCCTTCGCCAAAAAATTGTACTATATATGCAGCTATATAAAAAGTCTTCTTTATGTGCATATATATAAATTGTTGAATCCCCTAGACACAAGAGAGCATTTCTTTAGATAAGCAAGAATTATATTGAGAAAACCTAGAGAGGAGTTTAAGTAAACACTACGGGAACAGAGGGAGAACTTTTTTGGCAGTTGAATGAAACCAAATTAGTGTCAGTCATTCGAGTTGATCTTCTAAGTATTAACAGGGGCTTTGAACATTGGGCATGCTGACAATGTTGGAACATGGTCATTATTGGTCAAGTCCCATTATGATGTGACATCTCCTAAGGCAATCGGATAGTGAAATAGAATAGATTCATCTTTCATACCAGAGAAGTTAGATTTTTAGGTATGCCATATGCAGGGTGTTGCTCATTTCTGGAGATGGGGGAATTATAACACAGATGTCGTCCTACATTGGACAAAAACATAAAAACTTAGGCTGTATTAACCAAGTTCTTAAATCTGATGTCTCCATGAATGTATTATACCTAATACAACTCTCTCCAGGCAAATGACATCTCATATACGTCTGGGCAAGAGGTCCCAAAATCAAGTAGTGGAAAATAACCTAATTACATCTTATTCGACTTGACACACTACTGAAAAAGCAATTGACAGTTAAATGCTGGCTGCAGAAAATCCAGAGATATGCAACCTACCAAGCTTCCTATTTGGGCAATCAATGGGTGGAGCAGTAGCTCTGATGGTGCACATGAAGCAACCTGATGCATGGAACGGCGCTGTTCTTCTCGCACCGATGTGCAAAGTAAGTTTCTGGAGACTATTCTCAATTTTAATTGATGTTATCGTCTTAATTAGATCCATAGTTTTGATTGATGAATGGTATTGTTGTACAGATTGCAGATGACATGGTACCACCATGGTTAGTTACACAAATTCTAGTGGGCATAGCAAAATTTCTTCCAAAGCAAAAGCTAGTTCCGCAGCAGGATCTAGCAGAGTTAGCATTCAGAGATGTGAAGAAGAGAGAGCAGGTATGTGGTCTTTCTATTCTGTAACGGCTCTTAGACATATGTCAATTTTAGGACGGGAAGAGTACATGATATTAGAGGTTAGTAGTACAAGAGTCGTTTAGAAATTTATAGTCGTCATTAGCTCTCTCACTCACCTGAAAAAAGGTTTTTGCATAAGGGGGCTTTCAATATGAAATGCTTGATTTATTGAACATAATAATTACAATCACCGGCTTCAACATGTTTATATCTCGTGGGATTTCATGTTATAATGTACTCTCTACTGTTTTCTTCTGCATGCAGGCTGCTTATAATGTCATTGCTTACAAGCACAAACCCCGTCTACAAACTGCAGTGGAGTTATTGAATACCACCCAAGAATTAGAGAAGCAACTAGATAAGGTGTCATGTGTTTTTATTTTCTGTTTATCGTAGTATATACTATCATCATATTTACTGTTTATTAGTGATTGGACCTTGTGCCTTTGAATGCCAGTAAGTGTATGATTGGAAACTTGAAACTCAATTGTCCTCGCTGCATATCTTTGTTGGTGTTGCTAACTGTTTCTGGTCATTATACCTGCCACTAGTTTTGACTTTGTAATTCATTCAAGATGGTGCATCTTTTGCTGCTCTTGTAGTCCTGAAAGAGTTCAAGCCCATTTAGCTTGACAAATATTGTAGAAAAGTGTCCTTCAGAATTTTCCTTTCTGAAAACGAGAGGGATGCATGAATTGGGGATTAATAGGAGAAAGCGGATATCTAAACAATAACTAACAGTTTTACGATTTTGTAGGTCTATCTGCCATTGCTAATATTGCATGGAGAGAATGATAGAGTGACTGATCCATCCATCAGCAAAGCATTGTACGAGAAGGCAAGTAGTTCGGACAAGAAACTGATCCTTTATAAGGATGCGTATCATTCTTTGCTCGAGGGTGAGCCGGATGAGATGATACTTAAAGTTCTTGGTGACATAATTTCTTGGTTGGATGAGCATACTTCCTAGTAATTACTTCTCCAATTTTTATTTTTTTCATTTTTGTTCTGCCCATTTTTTCATGGATTAGGAAGGCAAGGGATAGAGCTGAAGTAAGAAACTAAGATTTAACCTGATGTACTTCCTGCCCCTCTATTTTTTTTTTCAACTTATTATTTTGTAAAGAAAAAATATTGAAGATTTGAATGTTCTATATGATATAAAAAGCAATGCTTCTATCTTTGTTGTTTGAAATATTGTGCTTCAAAAGTGTGTAAAAAACTTGATTTCAACAAACAAACAAAAAAATTGAATTAGAAGGGCGTGCTTTAGTTGGATTGACAGACGTGTGATCAAGATGAGAATAACGAATAGACGCCTCAAGAGGTTAACAAATAAAAAAAAGGAAAGTGAACTACCAAAAATTTATTGTGTCCAAATGCACATAGAAGTATACGTGGTCAAACATGTAATATACTAATTACTAAACCAAAAGGTTTATGATTAGCAAATATCTAATTCTACTTTTTGACTATAATTAAATGCAAGTGTGCAAAATGAGTTTGAATATTGTGTTTCTAACTAGCAATTGCAATAAATCATAGCATCATATTACTATATATAATAAGTGGGAATATCTACTACTTAGCACATGACAAGTGTTGGATGATATGTGCTTAGATAGTGTTGTACATTCTTCTTTTATGGTTGTACCTTTAAAATTTATATTATTGGACAATTTAACACCATTAATTATCTACCTCATTTGGGCCCATTTATATATATATATATAAAATAAGCCATAATGCAAAATATTTTTATAGTATTTAGTTACATTGTAACTATCTTATTAGCTTCCAACCAAAATGAGTACTTCTTTTAAATAATAAATATGTCATTGTATGAGCTATATATTACTCATTCCTTTTAAATTTGTTAATCTGATTTTGATCTGACACATAGTTTACGAAAGTAAATTAGATTTTGAGAAAAAACATTAAATGATATTTGAAGTTGTTCTAGATTTTCAAAAAGACACCTTAACTTTGCGTGCGTCCTATTACCCCACAAAACATTCAAAATCACAATAAATACACATTTTTTACACAATATTTCCACTTTGGACAAAAATATTCTTCGAATGTGCAATTTCTTAAAAACAAAAAGTCGGACCCATTATTGATGTATTGAAGGATGCTTTGGTAATTTCCTATGATGAATTCGTTTTGTTTGTTTCTTTTAAATTTATTTTACTATACTAAATAATTGTATAAAATATTATGAATCACGATAATTAATTACTTAAATATTTAAAAGATATAAAAATATATAAAAGATCTGATTGACTCTTCAAATTTTACCGGTGACACATAAATTGGGACAAATGAAATAATATATATTATTTGAAAATTTCTTAGAAAGTACTATAAATTACAGTAATTAACAGCTAGAAATATTTCAAAGACAAAAAAAATTGATTGAATCTCAAAATTTTTTTAGTACTACATAAATTGAGAAAGAAGAAATGACCTATATTATTTGAAAATGACGTAAAAGTATTACAAATCATACAATAAGAATTAACAATTTAAAATTTTAAAAGACTTTAATGCTTTATACTTATTCTAATTCCACTTTGGACAAAAATATCCTCCCAATATGCATATTTTTTTAAACAAAAAGTGGGACCCATTATTGATGTATTGAAGGATGCTTTGGTAATTTTCCTATGATGAATTCATTTTGTTTGTTGTTTAATTTTTTTAAAAATAATTGTATAAAATATTATAAATCACAATAATTATTTACTTAAATATTCAAAAGATATAAAAATATGTAAAAGATCTGATTAACTCTTCAAATTTTATCGGTGACACATAAATTGGACAAATGAAATCATATATATTATTTGAAAATTACTTAGAAAGTACAATAATTTACACTAATTAACAATAGAATATTTTAAAGACAAAAAAAATTGATTGAATCTCAAAATTTTATTAGTACCACATAAATTGAGAAAGAAGAAATAACCTTTATTATTTGAAAATTGCGTAAAAGATATTACAAATCATACATAAATAATTATCAATTTAGATAATGATAAGGGGTAAACTATCCATTGATTTCATAAAGTGCACAAGTATTGTAGGACATTCCAAAATAGTATAATAGACAATAATTATTGGACGGATGAAGTAGGATTAAGTCTTTCTTTTAGTACTTTTCTCACATTAATTAATTTCTCTCAGCATTCAATTAGTGAATCTTTAGTAGAATTAATTACAATATTTTTTACTTAATACAATAAAAGTTCAAATAAGATTAACATAAAGAAAAAATAAAAAAATCCTAAAAATCTATCAATATATTAAACAACATACAACATATATAACAAACGTTCTAATAAGATTAACAAAAAGGAAAAAAAAACAAAATTCTTAAAAATCATCAACAAACTACATACAAAATAAAAAGAAAGCTATTCCAACAAAAGAATACATAAAGTTAAAATGAACTTTAAGAATTCTAGCATCTTAAGCATATTGAGGCAAACATTTTAATTTAATGTCATTTCTCTCCAAAGAAAGAAAGGCATTGAGTATTTTAATTTAATGTAAAATTGAATTTTTTGGGGTTATGAATATAAAAGGTTTGAAAGTTATGAATATTATTAATACTAATTAAAAGTATAATTTATGAAAATGAAGAAGTGTGAGTTATGAAAATAACTTTTAAAAATAATATCATTGAGAAAAATTCAAAAAAGGAGAAAAAAGAAAAATGACAATGAAGGTCATAGCGAGCGCCACATCACCGTTTAATGTAGCTCTACTGATAATTGTGAAGAAAGCATATTAATGGATTAAAAATCAAAAAGAGGTAATTAAATCCTAAAATATTATAAAGACATCTATAAAATTTGGTTGAAGCTCAAAATCTATTAGTGCCATATAAATTAGGATAGAGATAATAACATATATTATTTGAAATAACATGAAACGTACTATAAATCACACAATAATTAGCAACTTCAAAATTTAAAGGACATACAAAAAATTTGATCAACTCTCAAAATTCTACTAATGTCACATAGTTTGGGATAGAAAAAGTAACATATACGTAAAATGTACTATAATTCATAATAATTAATTAACTTCACAATCTAAAAGACATATACAAAATTTGCTTGACTTTCGAAATTCTATCAATGACACATAAATTGGGACAAAGAGAATATTGAAAATTACATATAAAGTATTATTAACCACAATAATCAACAACTTAAAATTTAAAGAACATACAAAAAAATTGTTTGGCCGTTAAAATTTTATTAATGTCACATAAATTAAAATAAAAAATAAAAATATATGTTGGGCCCGTGCTAGCACGGGCTACTGTAACTAGTATTATTATAAGTGGGAAGGTGCTTAATCTAAAGTTGGATTATGAAATTGTCCTTCAACTTTTTAATTATCATTATCATATTATTATTATTATTATTATTATTAATTATTATTATTCTACAAGTGTGAAATCATTAAAGTTGAATGACTTTTTAACTCTTTAAGAAATCACCATTAAAGTTGAATGACTTTTTAACTCTTCAAGAAATCACGATTAAAGTTGAATGATTTTTAACTCTTCAAGAAATCACTATACCTATTAAGTCTCTTACACATTGTCTTCTAATGACAATACTGTACATTTGAATTTGGTTTAGAGAGCATAAAGCTCTTATCATATGTTCTTTCAAGCATTTCTTTACATTTAGTTTTTTCAGTTTTTGCTATCATTCAAATTATATTATTAAATTGTTGTTCAAATGTTGGATCTCTCCCATGAAAGTATACTGCTAAAATTTTGTTTTATGAACTTATGATGTAATTTTTTAATCTCAGGTATAAATCAAAGGTGATGCTTTTGCAGACCGTTGAATATACCTTTTAGTAAAAATTGTGCCAATACAAATGAGGTATGCGGCATGTCTCTCCAACAATTTTGCAATTTTTTGCATGAGTAATTTTTAATAAATTTGATTAACATTTGATTATTGTATTTTTAATTAGATTTTAATAACTTAATGCATGTGTATTTTACAAAGTAGAGCCTCCTTGATAGCTTTAGTTTGACAATGACTTATTGGAATTATATTTTGCTTTAGTCTCCTGGCTTTCGAGGTAAAAAGGATAACTAATGCTTCTCCCTCAACAACATCGAGCAAAAGAAAACGAGAAAATCTCTAAAGAAGACATATTCACAAATGAGGTAATTTAATTTAATATGAAGGAGTACTTCAAAGTCAAATATGAACAACATTAAAATGTATCTTACTAAATATGAAAAAAGAATAACAATCTTAAAGAGAAAAATATATAATAGAAATTGAATTCGAATATAACAAGTAGTAAAAGAGATTATTAGTTAGTGGTTAACAAATTTTCACTCCTGACATGTTACCAATTCTAAAAAGTAAAAATAAAAAATCACTCATGACTCCACTAATATTTACATATTATAACTCAAAATAATTATAGATAAAAAATTTATTATCATAAAAATAAAGAACAAACGTGCAATGCACGTTACCATGAACTAGTAAATTAAATAAAAGTAAATAACAATGATTCAAATTCACTTGGGTTTTTATTAAGGGAAAAGACTCAAATATGTCAAACAAGAAAAAAAAATCATTTTTGTCATCACTTAGTTTGACTGATATATGTCATTGTCGTTTGAGAAAAAAGCTTGTCCATGCCATTATTTTTTAACTCCGATTTTGTAGAATCATTTTTTTACCTCAACAAGACCCCAAACAACACTTAACACTTTTCAATTGGGGTTTGGATCAAATGTACTTTTTTTTTGCTTCTTCTTGCTCAAGAACCCACCAAGAACATCAAGCCTCCCAAACTTTCAACCTCTTCGATTCTTCACGAAATCACCTCAAATTCTAGAGTAGCTTCCCTCCGAGTTAGATACCAAATTAAAACTCAATATCTTTTGACCTCGAATCTACCCTAATTCAACAAGACCCACTTAAAAAATTTCAAAGTTTCAAGACTTCAACATCCTTTAACAATATAATTTTCTCCACAACTCCAAATCACTTGAAATTTTGAATATAGTTTCAAAAAACACTAGGGAACAAAAACAATAACAGAAACACGAATCAAAACAGATTTTCAAAATTTTGGGATTGGTTTTTGTTTTATTTTTTGGAATGTTTTTTTAAATGCGGGTGAGTTCTTTTAACTCCATAAATGATTTTAGAATTTTGGCTTTTTTTAAAAAAATAAAAAATAATTTTGAGGTGATTTCGTGAAGAACTGAAGAAGTAGAAATTTTGGATGTTTTTTATGTTCTTTATGTGTTCTTGAGTAAAAAGAAGCAAAAAGAGTACCTTTGATCCAAAATCCCAAGTGAAAAGTGTTAAAAGTTGTTTGGGGTTGGGGTAAAGTGAATTGCAAAAACAATGTTAAAAAATAATTGCAGATGATTTTTTTCTCAAACGACAATGGCATAGACGAGTCAAACTTTAACGGATGACATAAATTAGTCTTTTCTCAAAGTTCGATGGCATATTTGAGCATTTTTTCTTTTATCAATGACTTGAGAAATCCCAGGCTCTACTTGGACTATGAATTCATGCAAAGTATTTTCCACTTTAAAATCTAAATGATTATCAAGTTACTGACTCACGAGGTTAATAATATGATTATGATCTTTCGAACCTCTAACCACCTATCACAATTGATAATCTAACTACATCATTAAGCAGGGATAAATTTAATCAATTATGGAGCATTAAGCTTTCTTCTCGTTCCTGAATCAAACAAGATAAATTAGGTATATATCCGTCATAAATACAAATCAATCCTAGTTTTCAACAAAGAATGATCTTGCCTCTTGTATTCCAGTCCTATCTCTCAATTCCTCTCTAGAGTTCAAGAAAGGATAATAAATGTATTCTAATGACGATCAAGCATTAAAATAGTAAAATCAAAACACAAGAATAAGTTTTAATAATAACCAATCTTTATCTATAATTTAAATACTAAACAATCATTCGTAGCTAGGGGTGTTCACGGTTTGGATAAAAACCGATCCAAACCGAAAAATTGAACCAAATCGATAAAATAAAATCGATTTTATTTGTGTTTGGTTTGGTTTGGTTTTAGATTTTTGAAAACCGATAGCATTTGGTTTGGTTATGGTTTTATTCGAAAAAAATCAAAGAAATAACCGAATCAAACCGATGAATTATATACATATATTTTATTAATATACATACTTAATATATTGTTTTTATAATCAACTTTAAAGATTTTATACATATTTTCATTAAAATTTCTTTATAATTTAGTTATTGAAAGCAAAAATATCCAAGATGAAACATTTATCTTATTGATTTCATGTATATGAGTGTCTAGGTCAATTCTTTGTGGGACTTGAAATGTTATTGGCTCTTCCTTCTAGGCCAATATAGTGAATTTTAAAGCTTTATTGATAATAAATTTAGTGATCGAAAGTTCAGTAATTTAACGCATACTAACTATTTTTCATTTTGAATGGATTGTTGTCACTTTTTTCACATTTTGAATGAATTGTTTCTTTTATTTTTGTGTATGGTTAATAACAGAACCAAACCAAACCGAAACCGATAACCACCAAACCGGCAAATGTATATTATATTTGATTTGGTTTGATTTTGATAATTTAAAAACCGATTAAGTTGATTTGATTTTGATTTTGACCAATAACCGATCCAAATAAACCCGTGAACACCCCTATTCGTAGCTATAATCCTAAAAATATAAAATTTAGCCACTACTCAGTGTGAACGAAGTAAAAACAAGTCCGACAAGGCACCAATATTATATGTGCATGTGCGCCTGATGAAAAGGTTATAAATAGGTGTAAAGGAGCACAGGAGTAAGTGCTTAAACAACTTTCCGTCCAAGAGAGGTGTGTGGTCGGATTTGGCAAATTCTCAACTAACATCTCATCCCAAAATGCAATATATTACATTTAGTGATATAATGACCTCATTTCTTTATTTGCACCAAACTTTTTGTTGCTTCTAAAGCTAAAAATAAATTATACTTTTTGTTGCTTCTAAACAACTAGCTCTCCTCCTATTCTTCTTATTATTGTTGCAACTAATAAAGTATGTACTTCTCTTCTTCTACCCAAATTTCACTCAAGGTATGCTCTTTCTTTCTTTCTTTCTGCTTCTATGTCTTACTCTCTGTTTCTGTTTTTTTTTTCTAGCTCTGATATGTTTTTTGTCTCCCAAAAGCCTCCACAGTCATCCACTGTTTCTTGCTAGGTATTGATATTTGGTTGAGTTGTTTGATCAGTTTATAAACTTGACCGAACCCCCTCATGATCCTTTAGGAAGATATTGCTAACCCACAAGTTTGTGGTTATTCCCACTGAAGAATAGTCCGTGGTTATTACCATAGATATTTTGATTGAAGAAAAGAAAAAGTAGTAATCTTTTAATATAGAAAAATTAGGAAGTCACCATACATTTTCATTGGTTCGGTAGGAAATGAGTGGGAAAATCATGTTCTATATCAAAAATTTCTCAATGATTCGCAGTGGGAAACACTTTTGTTTCTAGTAAAGACGTGGAAATAGCCTCTTTTCAAAATACAAGGAGAAGTGTGTATATATGCCCCAACTCTTTCCCTCTGCTGGCACTAGCAGAAGTCCTTTGTGCACAGGGTAAGCTCTTAGGTTGACATTATTGAGCTACAGGCAACCAGAAACGGGAATTTACGCTAACTTCTTCGTTGGAAGAGATGTTGTGGGCAAAGGGCACAAAGCTAGGTCTCTACTCCTTCATGAGGAAGAAGAGCACTTTGTCATCTAAACAAACGTGCACGTGCTATGGTGTGAAATCCAATATCTTCATCTTCGATTACTTGTTGCAACACATTTCTGCTCCAAGACTTTCCCTCAACATATCTATAAGCAGGGAGTCTGCATTCACTATTAAGCCTACATAGATGTGGAGATATTTGAAGATTGAGGCATGCTAGTGTCTCAAGGCCTAGCAAAATGAAGGTGCTTTAGATCAATGTGAGGTCTAGCACACCTTTCGGAATAGGACTACAAAGAAACAAGGTTTTGCAATGCATTGAACCCGAACAAGTTGGAGGCTACAACGAAATTCAACTGCTTTTCAGGCAGTCATTTTTGTTTACCAATCTAGAATTTCATTTCCTGAAATTAACCATTACTTGTTGCAGATGAACTGCTGGGCACCAGTCTTGGTTTCAAAAGTCCCTCTGAATACCCAGAGAAACCAGACTGCTTCTCTTGCTCTTAGAGAAATGAAGTCTGACCTTTTAAGTCAACGTATTGGTGGATTTGGAACCAAGCTTAGCAGTGGAGGGAGTTCTCTGGGAGGATCAAGAATCATTACTCAACTAAATCTTCAAAGAACTCTTTCGCGAAGAAAAAGTCCTACGGTGTCTGCTTGCTGTAATTACTTACAAACTCCATTCTTTGTAATAAATTATCTTTTGTTTTGAATGTTCATGACAAAGTAGTTTTAAATGTGTGCTTAATTGAGTTATTGCTGCAGTTGAGATTTATTGTCTCATTGATTGCCATTTTTTTGTTTATTTGAAGAACAAAATTGTTTTAAAAGCTAATCTTCTGTACAGTTTAGCTTCTGGTTTTGGCAGACTTTTATGCCAACTAATTACATTGGTCAAGCTTTTAGTTAAGTTTCTATGTTCTTTTGTAGGGGTGCCAAGTTCAGAAGTTGCATCTACTGCTTTCACAGTGGGAACAGCAGCAGTTCTTCCGTTTTATACCGTCATGGTTGTGGCTCCTAAAGCTGAACTTGTAAGATTTCTAAAGTACTGTCAATCTGAACTCCTAAAGCAATATCTTTTCCAGTGTACTGAAGATCAAACTTTATACTCAAATCATTGATTCAAAGGTCTTCTTAAATTAAACACTTACCAGCTTCAGACAAAGTAGAACAGTTGGGGCACAACGTCAGTCCTTATCTTATGTATATTTTAGTCATTGCTTTATTTCAAAGAGAAGTTGTAACTGAACATATTTTCAAATGCAGACCAGAAAAGCGATGAAAAGCAGCATACCCTACATTGTGCTTGGACTTCTGTATGCATATCTATTATATCTCTCCTGGACACCAGATACAATTCGGCTGATGTTTGCTAGTAAATACTGGCTTCCAGAGGTCTGTGCTCAACTACATAATAATTTGTCAAAACTGCATAATCGGGATCTTAACACTTCCTTTCATTCAGCTGTCTGGTATAGCTAAGATGTTCTCCAATGAAGTGACATTAGCTTCTGCATGGATTCATCTGTTGGCCATAGATCTTTTTGCTGCAAGGTCAATCTCTAGGCATCTTATCTTTGTTGGGCTATGCCCCTTTGTTTTTTTGTTTTTTTTGGGTATAACATGAGGAGGATGCCACTGTTAGACATCTCACTTAGAGTATTTCACTTGAAACAGACAGGTTTATCATGATGGATTGCAGAATGATATCGAAACCCGCCATTCTGTCTCTCTGTGCTTGCTGTTTTGCCCTGTTGGAATTCTTACCCACTGCATCACCAAAGCTCTAACTAGTAGCCCAGAAAAGAAACAGCATAGGACTCATTAACCGATGTTTTAGGTCTTCTTATGTTATCCGTAAATGATCAGCCAGCATGTGACTTATCAGCTAAGTGTAAAGGTTTTCAGTCAATGAATACATAAGCTGTTTCAATAACTTGTTTCTAAGATGGATGAATGTACAAGATTTCTTCCTTTAGTTCCACTCCAAACTTCTGATTTACTTCATCCTTAACTAAGCCTATGAGCTCAAGCATGTCTTGAGAAGTTGCAGAACCACAATTTATGAAAAAGTTGGCATGCTTGTTTGAGACCATGGCTCCACCAACTCTCAACCCTTTCAACCCACTTTTCTCTATCAATTCTGCAGCAGAAACACCCATAGAAGATGGATTTCGGAAAACTGAACCAGCACTTCTCTGCCCCAAAGGTTGTGTCCTCCATCTTCTGCAAAGAAACCATCTTTATTGTGGTTGAAAATGACAATATGTTTCAAAATAAGAACATCACATTAGAAACAATTACCTAGCCAAGTATTCTTGTTGCATTTCTCGTGCAGTTTTGGAGAAATTTAGCCGGAATGTAACTGCAGTAATGGATGCCAAGTCTTTCATTTCTTGAAATGGTGATAATCTATAGCCAAAATTTAACTCTCTTCTTTTCAGCATCCTTGATTCGCCTTCATTTGTGATGATCTCTATGCTATCAATAGCAGCAGCTGTTTCCTTTCATAATCAATGTCAAAAAGAAAATTAGTAGAAAAAGAAGGATGCACTCTCAGTATCATATTTGAAAATCAATGTAATCTCACAAGTGGGGTTTTGGGAGGGTAGAGTATACGCAGACCTTAGTCCTACCTCGTGGAGCTAGAGAGGTTGTTTCCGAAATACCCTCCCCTCAAGTATATCAAATCAAAATAGTCATGAACTAGGAAATACGGCAATGAGGAAAACATGACAACTAACATGGAAAGCAATACAAAGCATACAGAAAAAAGAACAATAACAACAACACATAAAGAAACTTTTAAGTTTTTTTTTAAAAAGTGCTAATTTACCTGCCCATTTGCTCCGGCATTCATGTACGCAGCTCCACCAACAGTCCCAGGAACACCAGCAGCAAATTCAAGCCCTGAAAACCCTTCATTTGCAGACACAACTCCAAAGCGATTAAATGGGTATCCACTTCCGACCCGGTATACTCCAGATTCTATCTTCTCCAAGAACTCAATTCGATTGAGAATAACGCAGCCATCAAAACCCATGTCATCAAACAAACAATTCGAGCCTTTACCCAAGATCATAAATCTCATGGATTGCTCATTACAATACCTGCATTGAATAATTAGGGCAGATTTTAAACTACGAGTCAATCAATCGATTATGATTCAATCTGCCAAAGTTGTGGGATAAAGAAATGGAACCTGACAGCCGAAACAAGTTGGGTTGGGTCAAAGACTTGAACGAAGTAATTACAAGGGCCTCCAATTCCCCATGTGGTAAGATCACTGAGTAGCTTCTTCCTGCGAATAAACTGGAACCCAGTTGAGTTTTGAGCTGGTTCTTGCTTGTTGAAGCTGCAGCTACTTCTGCTCTGAACATGACAAGAATGTAACTTTCTTGGTGGTTTTAGAGGGAGTTGATAGTTTGTCATATGTGACGCCATTGGAGAGGGCTTTATTTGGTGCTCATTGCGAATTTTCGGTTTGGGGTTTTCATGCTCTTTCTGATGGCAGATTAAAGAGAAGAGTTAGGTCGGGTGGGGATGCTATGATATGGCAAGCCGGTTTTAAAAATATTATTTATATGGGATAAGACGCAGGTTATCCAAAATCTCAATAACACCTCTAAACTTAATGTATTTTTGTGCTTTTATTATGCTGGCATATAACCTTACGAGACTGCACTGTTATCAGGCGCGTGGAGCACCTGACTTATTACTTTTTCCCTTTATGTTTACCATAACTTTGTGGAGCACCTGACTTATATATTCCTTTATGTCCAGCTAAAGGCAGAAAGACAACAAGGAAAAAGGTACATTTTCTGGTGGTGCTGTCTTTGCAATCAAAGTTTTCGATATGCAATGGCAACAGGGTTTAAGAAATTTCGATTCAGGATGTGAAATTTTGAGCAATGTAAGACACAGGAACTTGCTCAAATGTGGATTTTACAGTGATTGTGCTGGAGTACATGCCTAATGGAAGCTTAGACAAGAGATTATACTCTGATGAAAATTGCTTGAGCCTGGTTGAAACTCAATATATATAATGATCGATGTAGCACTAGCCATCAGGGGCGAATTTAAGGGTAAAAATTGGGTCACTCGAACCCGTGGTCATCCCACAAAACTCGATATATTATGTGTATAATTTTTAAAATATAGTAAATATTAAATAAAGGAACCCATGATCACAAATGATTGGATGGCTCACTGGTTCAAGGGTTGGTTTTTGATTGTGAGGTTGAGGGTTCAATTCCTAGAGAGGACCTCTTTTTAAAATCAATTAAAAAGCACCATTGTTTGTTATTTTTTTGAAAAAAAACCATTTTCTTTTTATAAAGTGTACTTTTTAAATTTCTTGAGATGCGAAATTGCATATATATATTTTTTATAAATGGTTTCTTTTAATAATTCTTTTTCAATCAATAATTCATATAAAAATGCATTTAATTTTTCTTGTGACATAATACTCGAGATTTATCAAACTTCTAATAATTTTTTCCTTTAATATTATTTTTTCCCGAAAATCGTATTTAATAGTTTTCTTATGAAAAACCTATAATCTATTATTGCTATATTAAATGAGGCCCTCAAATTTGTGAGACTAAAATGGTTGCCCTTTTCTTAAGGGGCAGAGTCACCCCTGACAATGGTGCACCCGTCTTTTTGAAATCTTGAATTCGCCTCTGCTAGCCATAGAATATCTTCATCATATGATTATACATCACACATTGTGAACTGTGATCTGAAGCCGGCTAACGTGCTTCTTGATCAGGATCTGACTGCTCATGTTGCAGATTTTGGAATTGCAAAAATGTTTGCACAAGAAGGAAACATTGCTCAAACCAAGACTCTCGGAACTATTGGTTATATTGCTCCAGGTACATATGATAATGGGATGGAATGTATGCGTCCACTTAGTTACGATAGGACCAGGTCCTTAACACGATTACAATAACAGAAAGCAAATAAGTACTGAAAGTAAAGATGGTACACACAACTTTACGTGGAAACCTCATTGCTCAAGGGAGTAAAACTACGACATGTTCTCACAGTACTTTTCAAACTGCTTTTACTATACTTCACAAGCCAAAGTAAAACTCAGTTTACAACACACACGAGATTGACCTACTAATCTCTATCTTGAGTAATACACTATCACTCAATGAGCCAAAGCAATGCCTGCATTGCCCACTATACTAACTCAACTGATTAATATGGACTTTGAAGTAAGACACTAAGTTGCCCACAACTAAGTTCTTACAATAATTCACCCAAGTTTGAAACGTTTCTATCACAAGCGAAAAGATTCCTACAATATACACATAAATACAAGCAATCAAAGTAACAACCGATTCAGGAAGAAATAATGCAATCTATTAGGTCCCTTGCTGTTTTGAAGCTTGAATGTCTCTCTTTGAATGAATGAGTGATTTGTTGTTTGTAATGTTGAATTTATCAACGATGAAGAGTTATTGACCGATGTACAAACAACCTCGTCCTTTCTGATTGGTGTCGTACACTGACGACCTCACTAAACTCTAACGCAACAGCTTGCCAGTTATATAACATATGGTCCTAGACAAGCATACTCTGCAGAGGATCGGGTCCCTGCACTTATGAGGAGATCATCAAAACATCTGGGAGCATAAAGACTTATCAATTTCCCTCTTTTTGATGATGACAAACAGCCTACAAGCAGCCTCACATGAGTGTTAAGCATTCATTCAAAAATACATTAATTCCCCCTATCATAGTTCCCTTTATCACTGTTCTTTCCTCTTAGTTCAGGTCCCTTCTAATTTCACAACAGTTCACCAAAAATTCCCCCTTTTGACATCATTGAAAAGGAATAACAGTAAACATATGTGAGTTTTATGCAAAACATTAAGAACTCAGGGTCATAGGCCACACAAAATATGCACATGTAAGCATAAAAAGAATATCAAAGCATACTGAACAGGGCATAATAGGAACTAGCATTAGATCAAAAAAGTTGACCACATGAGTTAGCCTAGGACGGAGAGGGAAAGGGAATAAGGGTTCGCATTAGCAAGGACATTCGCTCATTTGCAGCCTCATGTGCCTGAATGACTTGCTTGTTGAGAGCTTTGACTTCCTCACTGAGTGAGGCATTTGTCTTCAGCAACTGCTCATTCTCAGCTCTCAACTTCTGCACCACTTGTTCATCCACATCACTGGTACCGGGTCCCTTCGAGACAGACTTCTGCAACTTAGATTTTAGTTGCGCAATCTCAACCTCCTTATCATTCAAGATCACAGTGAGGTCAGTCAACTCTTGTTTGAGAGAGGTTTGTTGCTCTAGAAGATCCGCTACTTGAGACTTACCTTAGCTTTCCCTTCAACACATTCACACTCCAGAAGAGTAACAACAGTAAACATTTGCTTGACGGTACCTGGTACTCCTCGTCCAAGAGGTACTTCGAAATGTTTGAACATATAGTTGAGCAAATAGCCATAAGGGATGCAATGTTTGACTGACTTCCAAGTCATCACCCTGTGCATATGTTCAAGCATTAAAGCAGGAAGATTGATCTTATCGAGTTCATTCAGCTTTTCCATGAGAAATAGGTTGGCAGCAGATGCTACAGTTCTCTTCTCTATCCTTAGTACCAGTACCTTATTGATGAACTCAAAGAATAGTTGGTATTCCCCCTTCAGAAACTTCTTTGGCAAACCAGCTCTCTTAATATCCCCCTTCTTTGTAGCATGTTTAGTGAACTCACTTAAGGGTTTGCATCCTTTAATGGACCAGATCCCCTTCATGGGCAAACGCAGAATAATCCCCAGATTTTCCTCATCTAGAAGGCTTTTGACATTGTTGACAGTAGTCTTGATTCCTCCATCATCTAGAAGCTCGATCTTATAGTAGAATTCACGCATTTCAGGTTCAAACAAGTATGGTGTGGGGGGTTCAAATAAATGATCCCAGCTTTACAAGGAAACTGAATTAAAAAG